CCATTACTTGACTTTTGGGCTCTTGTAGTGTGAGTTGGACCTTGGGCTTGGAACCCAATTATTAATTGGATGTTGTTTGATGTTGACAGTTCGGGAGTTTGTCAACCAGCAGCTGGATTTTATTTGCGGGACTTCAGCAGTGTCAGGTGATTTATCCTCACTATACTAAGGGGTCTAAGGCACCAAAGCCGGCCCATTGGATATGATATCCTAGCAGTTGGTAGTATGTTGAGTATGAATTAGTATTGCATGCTAGTTGCTATTCCAGTTAGGTAGATCTGTAGGACTACATGTGATATTATGTGATTATCTGTATGTGCATTAGTTGTGTTATATGTCGACATATTATGTGGGGTGGGTTGAGGTGATACTGCTCTGTGCGGTAACCAACAAACTCGGGAGCATTCCATATACAAGTTGAGGGGCAGGTGGGGCATGCCAGACTCGTATTGTGGGCTCGGGAGCATTCCATATACGAGGTGAGGGAGACTCGTACTGTGGGCTCGGTGGCAATCCAGATGTGAGTTGTGGGCCCGGAAGGCAATCCAGACTCACACTGTGGGCCCAGGGGTAATCCAGTCTGTAAAGTTGTGGACCCGGTACCTGTTGTTATTTGTATATGTGTTATGTGTAGTGTATCGGTATTTTAGGGGAACTCACTAAGCCTCGGGTTTACAGTTTCAGTTTATTGTTTTAGGTACATCAGGGGATCGCGGAAAGGCAAAGGCGTGATCGTACAACTCCTCATATTTATGTTTATGTTTCTGGGATACTCTGATATTATACATTTTGAAAACAAGTTTTGTAATAACTAATGGTGTTTGGATTGTTTAAAAAGTTTTAAATTGGCTTGAATTTTATGGGTGTTACATGAATAAATATATTGGATGGATGGATTTAATAAATAAATCGATCATATATATGGATGGGATGGATAGTAGTATAAATGGATAGATGGAAGTATCATATAAATGGATTGGATGGATAAATCGAGTTGTATGGATGGATGGATCGTATGGGCCAATTAAGTATATGGGTAGATGGATAGGTAGATCATATGGGCAAATTGAATATATGGATAGGTGAATGGATGGATAGATCATATGAATATATCAATTAGATGGATCAGATATGTAATAGAATGGATAGATCACATGAATAAATCAAGGGATTTATCAAAAGGTTGTACGATAAGTTCACATTATGGAACGAAATGAATAATTAAGTGGATCAAATGACGAGAAAAAGAAGAGTGTTATGATGAAGGAAGGGATCAAATAGATCAATCGGATGAACAAAGTAATGAATATGTGGATGGACTTGATGGATGGATAGATCAATTAGATAAACGAATATTCCTATTGGATAGATGGAAGGATTAAGTGGATGAATTAATCATATAGATAAAACCAATTAATCATATTGGTTTTAAGGGATGGATGGGGATATAGGGTAAATATAAGAATAGATAGATGGATGATTGGAAGGATAGGCATATGTATTGGATGGATGGATAAATCATATGATCATTTAGATTATTTGATGGATATATATCATATGGATGGAATAAATGGATGGACCAATCAAATATACAGATAAGATGGACATATATAATATATCTACTAGATGGATGGATCAAAGCGATGAAGCAATTGGATGGAGGAGATGCATTAATTCATCAGATGGATGAGCTTGATGGATGCGTTAGAAAATAAATATGGTAGATGGATGGATAGATTTGATGCACGAGTTATGTTGGGATGGATGGATGGATAAAAGGTTATATATGATGGATGCATGGATTGATCGAATTGATGGACCGATTATATAGATCAAATTGTTAAATATGATGGGTAGATCAGTTTGATGAACTAACTAGACAAATCAATTGGATGGATCAGTTAGATGAATCAAATGGATATACCAACTTTGTGGATCGAATTAATGGATAAAATGGATGGATGGATATAGATTGACAAAAATGTGCGATATGCATGGATTAGATGGGTGGATCATTTTGACATATCTTGATGAATAAATTGGATTAGTAGATTAGCTATATGGATGAACATATTGAATGGACCACTTAGATTAATATGATGTGTCGACAAATGGATGGTCTAATGGTGGATGGATTAATGAACATATCAAATATATCATATCAGTGATGGGTATGGAAGGATTGATTGATAGGTCGATTGGATGGATTGATGAGACCAATTAGAAGGATTTATCAAATTGATTGATTTGATAGATGGTTGGAGTAGGTAAATGGACGCATAAAAAACGAATTAGGTGATCGATGGATAAAATGACCATATTAGATTGATTGTTTGGATCAATTACATAGGTAAATGAGATGGACGAGATGGATAAAGCAAATGGATTCAATGGATAGGTTACATATAATAAAGATATGGGTTGACAGATTGTTAGATAGATGAGTGGATATATGGATGTGTACATAGTTTTTTTTTGGAGGAGGGGGTAGGGGTATATATCACATATCATACCATTGTGTAATATGCTTGTTTTTTCATAGGCAAAATGTATGCAGTCTGCAGACTACATCTATAGATCTCTGTAGTATAAGAGATTGACCAAACGTCAACAGTCTGCAAGAAGAAGATTGTTTATTTTTTAACATTTACAGGCTGGTTAAATAAACTAATTTTTAACTTTAAAAAGTTTTTCAAATACTTTAGAACACTGAAAGATTCCATCAAATTGAAATTTCTTTCGGTTTCAGTTCATTTAAGAGCTTGCCAATGTGGGACTAGCCCACTTGGTAGAGGTTTTGCCTCTTATACTGGAGGTCTCGAGTTCTAACCCTAACATGAACAATTTCGTGATTCTAACTTCTAACCACTAACCCCACCGGTTAAAAAAAATCCATTTAAGAGCTTCCACATTGAAACCATAAGAACCATTTGTTACTTATTAATAGAGATCAACAAAATGATAAACTACATATTTTATCTTTGGTCGATATTTTCTATAATAAAATCTTCTTTTGAACTTAACACTTTTATTATTTTATTATAAATAGTTAACAAATCTAGATCAAATTTTATGCATTATTGTTTAACACTTTGATTTTTCATAACCACTTAATTTCATTTGATTTCTTTATTTTAACATTATATTATGATTAATGTGTGCCTAAATTTGTATTTTAATGATAATATGATAATCATGTCATTTTTTAAACAGTGTATTGTAATATAAAAAATAAAAGTAAAATGACATGAATTAACGGATATATTTGATATTTATTATATTTTATTATAGTTAAAATGGAAAAATTTTACAAATAAAAAAGAGGCATTCTAACAAAAAAAACTGTTAACCATTTTAATCGGTGTTGATTCTTTAAGATAAGTAATTTGATTTTAGGTGCACAACATAAAGCAAGTGAATGCATATATAATCGTCATTGATATGAAAAATAAAATAACTAAAATGAGAATGATGTTTTTTTAGACTAAAATATGTCCGAAGATGTTAGAAGACTCTGCTGCACATTTGTGCCAATAAGAGGATGTGCGAACATTTTCATGTCCGTGGTCTACTAAAAAACAATCGGTCTGTAAATGTTAATGTTTGCGCATGATCTGCACGACACAGACAAAATAACTCAAAAAGAAATGCAAACAAAAAACAAACACGACCTAAGACTCATTGCCCAATTTCAAAAGTTGAACAATAGCAAATGAATAAGTAGGCAAATGCCTCTAGTATTAGATTCATCATGTATGACATGTTATGTACCATGCAAGATTAAACATATGCCATGAGCATGATACCATGGAAATGATAGTGAAAGCATGATGGATGGCCAATATAAAAAATACTTAGCTACTTAGAAAAAATAATGTACTTTTTGATACGCATCATAGGATAAAGGAATGGAAAACATCAAATGTACATGTGCCATTGATCAAGAAAAATGGGGTTGGGTTAGCCGAATGGAAAGGAATGAGACATCCATGAGAGAATCTTATTCATATGTATTTTCATATCGACCAAACAACATGAGTTGTTTGACTCATTTCATTCCGACAGGGTAACCAAACTTGAAGATAGAATGGTAATAGTTGATTTCATTACTTTGTTGATTTCATTGCCGAGTCAATTCCATTCCTTCATTATTTCATTCCATGTAACGAAACATGCCCTAAAGATATGTTTTTTTTATAGCAACATATGATGCAACCAAATAAGTTGTCTAGAAAAAAAGTTATCTGTGAAACTAGAAGTCATCGTTATCTACAATCCAGTTGATGTTTATTGTGGTTAACTTTGGTAAGGAAAAGGAACCCAATGCCACACCAAAAATCCAAACATATTATGAGGAAATATCATCTCACTAGTTGGATCAAACAATGCCAATATTAAGAAATGGTAAGTCCTCATTAAAGATCATATTAATGATCTATAAATTAAGCCTTTGCCAAGTTGTACATGGGTGTCGTGAAGGGAATAAGTACATTTAGTTGTTGCATTGAACACTTTAAAATATGTGAGAACCTAAATGCCATTTCATATTTGTTTTGTTAGCATGTTTATGAATCCAAGAGCAACAAGGATTAGTCTAACTTGTCCATAACCATTCATTGTCATGAGAATCACAAATGAGTTTAAGCCTATTGTGAAAGTCTTGTTGATATTCATGAGATGAATATAGGTAGAGATTGTGTCAATTTTCCGTTAGCCCTGTTAAAATCATTCCATATATCTTCAACCAGCTGCATTATGTTATATCCTTATGGTCAAACACAGATGCTTATTCATACCACTCACTACAAGTTCTTAAGGTTGCAAAAACATTCATCATGAACAGCCAAACCAGATAACAAACTCCATAAAACTTCAAATGAACATGAACCATATAAATGACATGCTCTATAGTCTATATAGTCTATAGTTCAAAACAACAAAAAAGAAAGAAACAGAAACAGAAACAGAAACAGAAAGTAGTATATAGCAGAAACTCTGCTCCAGGGGTACTGGTAAGAATATTATATGGATATGAGAAAAAAAACACAAAGTGCCGGTAGTACATGGAGATGGAGATGAAGATGGAGGACTTAATATGTAACATTGTTTGGAAGGTTCCGGATGACATTGCTTTTCATGCCCATCTTGGAACGCATAAAATCGACCCCTGATCTGTTCATCTGCTTCATCACCTTCATCCTCACCATGTTCTCTTTCGATTGCACAGTCGACAACCCCATGCTCCTATACCTGCACATTTTTACATTTCTTCCAAGATTACAACAAAACCAGTCCTGTGTGAACAAGACAACAAAACAAGACAGGTCTTGTCCTGTCTTTTGGTAATGGGATTGCAATTTTTGTCCCATTGTGTTTATACAAGACTGACTATTCTATCCTCACAGGACAGGACAGACGGTTTGGTAATGGGACAAAAACTGCACATCCTTGTACTGTGTTTGTACCAAGTAGTGGGGAAGAAAATTTGCAATTTTTTGTTCCACCCAAAAAGACATGAATGCCCTTATCTCATCCTTATCATTGAAAGTTTGTTCTAACCTTGCAGCCAATACAGCTGTAATGGGAACACCATCTGGAGATGGGCGTGGTTTTTGGCGATAATAACGCAAATATTCCCTTGAACCAATTGCTTTTGTTGATACTTTATTTTCATTTACTGTTTTTATTATAAGCTCGGACCCACCACTCCCAAGTTCTATACCCTCACTTGTCCCATCTGCTGTAACCAATTGCTTCCCATCTGCATCCACGTAACTAATAACATAGAAAAATAGAAGCACTATTAGCTTAAATATGATTAGAAAGTTAAAATTTTGGTTAAATTTTACTAATGTAAACCTGCTGGTGTAATCATAGAACTCTTCTAGCTCAGCTTCTTCTTCTTCATCATCATCACCATAGTGTACTTTGCAATGACTTTTTGCCACCATATGTTTCCTAACTGCTTCCAAACTACTGAATGGTTGGCAGTTGCTGTTGCAATATAAACATATGAAATCACGCTTCACCTTCAGTCCAAGATATGTGAGAAGGCCACTTGGATCTTTCAGATACTCGATATCAGGTACAAAAAACCCATGATGCTTGTGCAGATGAACCATACAGCTTTCAATAGTTTTATGCTCTTTATCACACATAAAGCAGCATGTTGGATCCACCTCATCTTCATCCTCATCCATGTCATCATCACTATCATCCTCATCATCATTGACTTCCATATGTGTAGAAGGTGATGCCATGTCACCAACCACGTCATCTTTCTCAGTAACTTCCTCCCATTCACTATCTTCACTTTCTTCATCTGATTCCTCTTGCTGCTTAACAGGTTTCTTTACAATACGGGGTGGAAGTGGTTTTATTATTGCATTATTTTCCTCTTCTTGACCATCTTCGGAAGCGCGTGTTATGTGGGCCCGAGAGTTAAGATGTTGAGCATGAGCCTTGGCGCTTCTATACCCTTTGCCACATAGGCGACAGCTGTACATCATAGCGGGCCCGTTTAGCTTGTTCTTCTCTTCAGCAAGTGTGGACTGTCTGGCTAAGAAGAGAGCTTCTGTTACTCCTGGAACTCCTGCAAGCTGATTTTTCAAATAAATTATGATAAGTGTAACAAGGGGCATCAATGGATTGTATAAATAAAAACGTGTAAATTGTTGATATCCAAGGACCTGAAATCTTTTTCTTAGTTATATTTTTCATGGTTCTTTTAATTGTTGGTTTTCATACTTCAGTATGAAGTATAAGACTTTATTTTGAAGGGTATATGTGTTGGTCTCTGCATTTGTTTAAGTAGAATTGAAATCCTTTTGTAGAATTTTAAGCATGTCTTTTGGTTAATACAACTGAAGATTCACTAATATGCAACTTTGGTACACAATGATATAACAATTTGATGTAGCTGAAATTCTTTCTTAAGAAAACCTGGAGGTCTCCTTGTTGATCCATAGGCAATATTTGTTCATACAACATGACCATGGGGAAGACTCAAAGTTGAACATAAGACCCCCAAAGTAAACTTACCAAATCTATTCAGTAATTGACAGCAATTTCCAGAGCATGCATTAGCTAATAACCGAAACAGGAACAGTATCACAAATCAAGTAACAATTTCAATTGAAATGATGCAAAAAATGAGCTCAGATATGAGCAATCCGGGAAAAGAGAAGAAATAGATAATTCGATAACTTCATTTTGCGATTCAATCAACCAATTTTTACAACGCTCACGATGAATTTCAACTTTTGCACAACTATTAAAGTAAGTATTAGGTTAAACAAAAGAGAAGAAATAATACACATCAAATAAACACAATTAGTTGTGATGTTGAACGACTCAAGAACTGATCTCAGATAAAATAAGTTTTATCCGTGAAGAAAAGAGAAAAGAGGAAACGCTACCTTCCGTTTGAGATTGTAACGGTGCCATTCGGACTTGTAATGGGGCTTCTGATCGTTTTCATTATCGAATTTTTTGTTGCAGGCGTTGCATGACAACCCTTCCATTTTTTCCAAACCTTCCATTTTTCCGAGAGAGAGAGAGGAGAGGAGAACAGTGAATAGATGGGGATATTATATAGGAATAAGAAAAACGTTACAAACACGGAATACGTCGGCTGTTCCAGTCGGCGAAGACGACTTCGCCCTAAATCCTAATATATTCGAAGTTCGATTTTTAGGGTTGGGAAATGGGACTTGGGGAGCTAAAGTGTACCCCCTGGATATACTTTGTAATTAAAATGAAATCTTTCGTAAAAATCCTTAGACTTCGATTCTATTAACAAAAAAAAAACATATTTGGTTTATTTTTAACGATTAAGCCAAATGTATTGGCAAACATTAAGCCAAATGTATTGGCAAACATTTGCGTATTGTCTCCAATATCTGATAACCTCTTACATAACCGGTCGCCTTGGCTGATCGAGCTCATAAGTTACGAATCACGCCTTTAGTTAGAGTTTTTACAGTGAGTCTTCTTTATCCATCTATGGTTTAACTGAGATGGAAGGTTTTTAATATTGAAAAACAATAAATTGATCTTTGATTCACGTTTGTAGAAGCTTTGTTCCTAATGAAGCCAAACGTTGACATACTAGGCAATTGTTTCGTTGACGATGAACTAGATGAGGAACAATTGGATTTCATTCACATAGATGTTGAAGAGGAAGACTATTTTAAAACAAACCATCTTCTATATGTAAAGACATGTTTCTTAACATACGTTGTGGAGATTCCGATGAGTACATTCCTAGCTTGGAGGACACTGATGACGAGGATTATGGTTATGATATTGAAGTCGACACAATAGAAATAGGCCATCAATCTGAGGAGGAAGATGGATGTGGGGTTGAATATTGAACCCATGATCACTTTGTGAAGTGGAATAAAATGAAGCCTTTACGTGGATAAATATATGGATCATCTCAACTGATAGGTTTTATAGGTTACAAAAAAAATATGTGGCGGAAAAACTTAACCCTAAGTTCACATACAACTTAAAGGATCTATGTTTTCACTATTGATTTGCAACAAACAATTGAACATCAACAATCCTAGGAGTACTCTACTATTTTCGAAATTAACAAAAGGTTTTAGGGTTTACATACCTTTTGATTATTATAGAAAATAATCAACAATTCTTTCTTGATCAAGTTTCATAAGGCAAGCACCAAAAATCTTTTGCCTCCAATGGTTTGTACCCAAACCCTATCAATAGAAGACTTTGGAGGAGAAAGGACAGGGAAGAAATTTTTGGGTCTAAGCTCTTAGAGAAGGTATGGCCGAAAATATGAATCATATAAGGGGTTTATATAGGTGAGTAAGGAAGCTAGGATAATGCATGTTTCATTGGATAACCCTTATCCCTTTTCTTGCTCCCTAAGACTTCCAAGAAACCCTTTGAACCTCCTCCAAAACCATCCCTTCTATGGGAAGGTTCTGGAATTCTTCAATGCTTAACTTTTGAACATTGTCACATTTAGTCCATATACTTTTAATTAATCCAATTAATCCTAAAATTAATTCTAATTAATTTCTGATTAATTATTAGATAAATAATACTATTTTTAATTAACATATTAATAAGTTATTTCTTGCTATTTATTAATCTTATAATAAATTAATAAATCAATCTCTATCTCCAAAAAATCATTCTGCCAATTACTAGTTTTGAGGGCAACCCAAAAGGACTATGCTTTTAATTTAAGCATATGACAATTTAGTTATTGGCTTAGACACCTAATCCAACACTCTCCCATTTGGATAAGTCTATAACTACAATTGCAAGTATAACTTCTAAATTAACAGCAAATGGTGCTTCCCAAAGCAACTCCAATCTCTAATCTGATCAAATATCGATCATAAGATAAGTGATCAAATATTCCTTCGTTCTACAAGATATTGTATGGACATGAGTATGGCTGTAAAAGAACCAAACGAACACAAGCGGGGCTTGTTCATGTTCGTTCGTTTAAGTTAACCGAACAAATGAACGAACACGAACGAGTTTTCTTGTTCATGTTCGTTCGTTTAACAAATTACATTGTTCATGTTCGTTCGTTTATGTTCGTGAACATGCTAAACGAACATAAACAAACGAACATAAACAAACGAAGATAAACAAACATATATGAACATAAATGAACATATAATATAGTAATGTAATCAAACACAATTAAACATATATGAAGATAAAAGGAACTTATATGAACAAACATGAACAAACGTAAACGAAGAACATAAACGAACGTTCACGAACATAATTGAACGAACGATACCATTGTTCATGTTCGTTCGTTTAACTAAACGCATGAGAATTTGTGTTCATGTTCGTTCGTTTATTAAATAAACGAACTTCCCGCCGAACGGTTCACGAACAGTTCGTTGAACGTTCAGTTCGTTTACAGCCCTAGACATGAGACATGGATTATAATCAATCTCTAGTCCAAAATTTAGTTTCCCGGTTTCTCGATTTGTGATGACCTCATAAGACTTACTAATTGAACACATCAATTTAGTCCTGACTGTGCCCAACACTATAATGTCAACACCAAATCACCAAGGGTCCCAAAGATATCACTTTTCCTGCTAGGAAAAAAGGAACAAATAAATTTTGACTCACATGCTTGTATCCTTTGCTCACCAAATAATGCATGACACTATGTTTTATAACATCAAATTACTGATGCGTTTACGTAATACTAATGCACAACCAACTTTGTAACTTACAACTCATATATCTCCATTTTAAGAATATATGATATTATCGTCTCAGAATTACTCGTGGTATAATCCATGAAGTAATTCTCTAAGCGTTGGTTTATCCAATACTCAAAATCTCCATTTTCTAAGTACTCACGAATATTGTAGCAACCATTACAATGTCTAATATCCATAGACAATCTACTATCTATTCATGACAGCCTTTATTCACTACTTACTTCCAAAATTATGAGCGAATATGGAGTTTTGAATAATCAAATCATTCGAGAAGTAAACCATGCAAAATGAAACACAAAATAAATAATCGAAAAAGGCAGTAACCATACTCATAAATAGTCTTTATTATTTAATCACCAAAGTCAATTACATTTATTTTGTCACAGGTTTCAAAATATCAACTAACTACTAAAACTAATATCATCTCTCAAGCCTATGCTCCTAGCATGTTGATTATGCTAAACCCTACTTAGAGCGTTCGTGAAAGGATCTGTAGGATTCTCTTCTGAGGATACTCTCTTCACTATAAGATGACATTCTTCAACTCTATGTTTGATGGAATGGTACTTACTGTCGATATTCTTGGATCTACCATGATCCTTGGGTTCTTTGGTCAAAGCAACTGTGCCTTCATTATCACAGTAAAGTTCCAATGGCTCCCGAATAGTTGGAACTACCTCGAGATCTCCAATGTAGTTCTTCAACCAAGTCGCCTCCTTTAATGCGTCACTTGTTGCGATGTACTCTAATTCACAAGTAGAATCAGCCACCGTATCCTACTTGGAACTTTTCCAAGTCACTGCTCCACCATTTAATACAAACACCCAGCCCGTCTGAGAACAAAAGTTGTCTCGGTCTGTCTGAAATTTAGCGTCACTATATCCAGTTATTCTTAACGTATCACCGCCTCCAAGGACTAAAATCATATCCTTCTTCCTTCTCAGATACTTAAGTATATTCTTCACTACAGTCCAATGAGCTCTGCCTGTATTTCCCTGAAAGTGACTGACCATGCTCAAAGCAATAGACACATCAGAGTGTGTACATGTCATAGCATACATGATCGAACCTACAACCGAAACATATGGAACTCGGCTCATGTCAGCTAACTCTTCATCTGTACTAGGGATTTGAGTCTTACTCAACTTGGCATTACTCTGAATAGGCAGTTCCCCTTTCTTGGAATTTTCCATACTAAAACGTTTTCATACTTTATCCAAGTATGTACTTTTGACTAAGACCAATAAGCTTTTTCTTTCTATCCCTCAGAATCTTTATCCTAAGAATATAGGCAGCTTCCCCTAGATCCTTCATGGCGAAACACTTCCCGAGCCAAGATTTCACTTCTTGTAAGGTCGAAATGTCGTTTCCCATAAGGAGTATGTCATCAACATACAATACTAGGAAAGTCACTATACTCCCACTAGCTTTAACATACACGTAGGACTCATCCTCGCTCCTAGAGAAACCAAACTCTTTCACTTTCTCATGGAAACAAAGATTTCAGCTGTGAGAAACTTGTTTCAATCCATAAAAAAAATTTCTCAAGATTGCACGCTTTATTAGGAAACTTTGCATGTACAAAACCTTCTGGCTGACTCATGTAAACATCCTCAGCCAACTTCCCATTAAGGAAAGTAGTTTTGACATCCATCTGCTATATTTCATAATCATGAAAAGCAGTTATGGCAAGCATTAACCTAATAGACTAGATCTTAGCCACTGGTGAAAAGTTCTCATCATATTCAACCCCAAAGGTTTGAGTAAAGCCCTTTGCAACCAGTCATGCTTTGAATGTGTGTACTTTCCCATCCATGTCGGTCTTCTTTTTAAAGATCCATTTGCAACCAACTGTCTTTCAACCTGGTACGTGATCAACCAAATTCCAAACTTGGTTGTCGTACATGGACCGAATCTCGATGTTCATTGCCTCTTTTCGTTTGGCAGCCTCAGGGCTCGCCATCACTTCCTTGTAGTTAGTTGGCTCATCTAAATTTACCAGTATACCATCACTGATAAACGTGTCACCATCAGACGTTATATGGAAACCATAGAAAGTTGGTGGCATGCTAACTCTACCTGATCTACGAAGAGGTAATGAATTGTCAATGGGCTCAACAGGAGTCTCATCCTCGGGTTGAGAGCTAGTGTCTTCTAAGGTTCCATCATTAGTTGATTATGGAATTTCTTCCAGATCAATAGGACTCCCACTATCCTCTTTGAATATGAGCTCTCTTTCATGAAAGACTCCTCTTCGAGCTATGAAGACCACGTTCTCACTAGGTTTATAGAACAAGTATCCAAAATACTTTTGTGGGTAACCAATGAAAATACATCTCTCACTTTTAGGTTCTAGCTTGTCATGAGTCTTTCGTCTAACGAAAACTTCACAGCCCGAAACCTTGATGTGGCCTAGCGAGGGAACTTTCCATGTCCACGTCTCGTGAGGTGTTTTGGCAACCTTCTTAGTAGGGACAAGATTAAGAATATG